CCGGGGAGCCCGGGCGGAGGAGCGGGGAGGGGAGGGAGGCGGAGCGGGGATGGGGAGATCTGCTTTCTGGTGCTTGGCCGGGCCGGGCGAACAGCGCTCTAGCGCTTTGATTCCCCTACCCTGCGCTCTCCTTCATTTCCCTCATCCCAAAACCGACGTATTTTCTAAACCGCAGCCCGCGAGCCAGCCCGCAGGCACCGCACAGACCCACTGCTCTGGCTAGAGGAGCTAATACACACACAGCTAATACACAGCTAATTAATACCCACCCGACTAATGAATACGCTCACAGCTAATACACAGCTAATCAATACACACAAGGTTAATACACACACAGCTCCCTGACCTCCACCCCCAAAGTGCCTATTTGTGCACAGATGGGAACTGAGGGCGCAGGGTAGAGAAGCAGTTTGGGTGATATCACCTTATCTTTTGTTTTCTAATTTAGTTGCATTTCTTCCTGTTCTAAACTAGCAAGTAGAGCTGTTATGTAGAGTCAGAACACATCATAATAGAGGCTTTTCCAGAGATGCCAGTTTCCAGATGTGCTTCCCTCCCAAGGGGAGATGTCCTTGGCACTTCTCACATTCAACTCAGTTTTTGTGTGAGGGCAGTGTGTAGTGCATGGGAGGACGTGCTCACCGTGGTTCACTCAGTATGACTGTGCACTAGTTTGATTTTCAACATTATGCCTGAGCCTTCTTGAGCTCAGAGTGTTTCTGCAACCAATTCAACATATGTTTTAAAAAGAGGAATCTATGAAAGTCTGGGGTTCTGTCAGTGTCAAATGAAAAAATTCAAGCTGTGTTAGGTCCTGGGTGTACACGAATGTGACCTTTTTCTTCTTGAAGTACCCAGTAACTGGGAAATCATTGTCGTTTATCTCTAGTTAATGAACCCCAGGTGTCTCTTCCCATCTACCAGAGTAAGGAGACTCCTGTGTGTACTCTGCAGGAGAAGGCAGGTAAGTGTGCCACATATCCAGCGGTGACCAGTGTATTCTTGCTTCTTTGGTTTTCATGGACCTTCCCGCTGTGGTAGTGCCCTGGTCACCCGTGTGGCTTGTGGTGTTTGTCTAATGTAGTGTAGGAATTGTGATCTCAGACTAAAAGAAATAAATGGGTTTTTTCCTTTGTATGAGTCCCTTTAAAGTCCCCACTTCAGTGGCTGCCTCGGGCAGGTCAGTTCCTTAGGAAACAGCAGTAGATGCTGGCCTCTGTTCTGGCTAAGGCTGTCCCTTCCCAGACCTTCCCAGATGCTCCCAGCCCTGCTGGGGCAACCTCTGCCAGAACATCAGTAGCTTTGTACCCCAGGTACACCTGAGCTGCTGTGGCAGCCAGCGCATGTAGACTCCATGTACCCACAGCAGTGGCTGGAACTGTGAATGGAGAAAGTGCCCAGGCAGAAGAGCACTGATTCCCCTCATTGTGTGTTTGTGAAGAAGATTTTGTAGCTTTTACTTCTGCTGTCCTTGCCTGATGCTGAAGTGAAGCGTTTTTTCCTCACCTGTTATGGCAGCTCCCACTACTGATATGCTTAACTTGTTTAGAATTCTTACCCTGTTCTTTTCCCTGGCCTTATGTGTGGTCTGAACAAAAAGTGGAGTGAAAGCTTGGAAAATAAGAAGCTTGGTATTTTTCTTAACTTTTACCTAAGGCATTGGAGTGTGATCTTTTTTTCAGAATCATGTGAGAAATTGGAAGAAGAAAAAGCAACCTCTAGGAAGTCTGTCATAGTAGTAACCACTGCCTCTGGGGAAGAAATAGAAGATGAGATTTTGGAAATGTACTTCGAAAATAAAAAGAAGTCTGGTGGGGGGATCATCAGGTCCTATGTCAAAGAGGGTCAGAGAATGATCATCACCTTTGAGGATGAGCAAGGTACGCTTGTGTGTTATGGTTGTTATACTGCTAAAGTTCCCTTTTAAAAATAGGCCTTTGCTGGTGCTGGATCTCTTTGTGGGCGTTGCTCCAAGCAAAAATGCTGTATTATTTTTATTATTTAATATGGTCTGCTGTGGGGAAGGGAAGATCACATCTTTGGTTTTTTTCCTGTGCAACTAGATGCCCAAGAAGTTTTGCAAAGGAAGCATCACAAGGTGAAGAAAATTGATCTGTTCGTGAAGCCGTGGCAAGTGGACACTCTGCAGGAGCCATGCCAAGCGGAGAACTCTGAAGGATCCCTGCCTTCCACCTCAGTTGTGCTGGAGAATATGAAGGAGACAGTAAAAGATTGCATGGTTATTATGCTGGTAGAGAACGTCAGTGGCTTGTCAGAGGATGATGGTGACTTCAGTGTGGAAATGATCCCTGAGTTACGTGCTGCTGTAGTTACTTTTAATGCAAATACTGGTAAGAAGGAGTCAGAGTTGAAGCTCTTTTTTATTAGCTACTTGTTTGCATGTGTGTGTGTGAGTGAGGCTTAGCAGGAAGTGAGTGTTTTCTGTCATATTTTTGAGGTTTGGTCTGATATTGTGTGCTTTTAAAGGAGGACTTACGCTACTAAAGTAATGCCATACCTTTTATCTGTAAGGTGTAGAGGCCAGTGAAAGTCAGAAGAGAGCTAGCTCTGATTTGGATAGTAAACAGAACAGGTAGAACTAAAACCAAACTATAACTTAGAACAAGCAATGAAGGATGTACTTGATCTGAGAACAGTTTGATGACAAAGGCTGTCCTTGACAAAAGGTTTTACATGTGTGGTGGGTTCGTATGGATTAGAAGAAAATTGCACAAATATGTGGAGCAGAGCTTTTTAAGGTTATTAAGCAGACTGTGTCAGGCTGGAGAAATCTACTGTCATAGACTGGAAGCTGGGAGAGAGTTGAGGAAGCAGCATCTTCCTACAGCTTCTCTAGATGCCTGCTGTGGCTGTTGCTGCGGATGGGATACTGGTCCTGGGATGCTGAGGCAAGTCCAGCTGTCCTTACAGAGTGGCAGCATCAGTTATGTGAAGCGTGGCACTAACACCACATGCTGTGGTACCAGTGAGTTGTTAAGCTACTATGTGGTTTTTAGCGTGTTCAATACCATACACTTTCTTTTCTACCTTATTAGTGATTGATGACAAAGGCATCTTGCAGGTGATGGAGAGGTGTCAGCTCCTACTTCTCACAGTGAGGGACTGGGGAGACTTTCTGGTGGACTTATGGCTGATTTTACTAGCAAATCCCATCCCAGGATTTGGGCAAAAGTAAGTGGTATGAAAAGACTGGATCTAGAAAGATTATCAGCCAAATGTCATGGCTCTTGTTGCAGAGAGAGAACTGAATTAAACTGACAGTGGTGAACTGGCTTCAGGATTCTTTCAGTGCTGCTGTGCTGGAGTCCTTTTAGGGACAAGGTGACTTTACATGTGCTTGATTCTGGGTGAGAAGGTGGGACAGGAAAGAAGAGAGAATTGAGTCTTACATATGGAAAAATTCTAAATCTGTAGAAGATAGAATGTGGTGAAAAGAAGTTATGTATCACTTTGAATCAACTTAGAGATAACACTGGTATTATTGGTAATATATAAAAATGAAGTTGCTGAGAAGTCTTAGTTGTGAAGGGATTAGTATGTGGTTTAACTAAACCAAAGAATTTTTTAGCTTCCAGAAGGTGTAGATTTTTCTGCCTTAGAAATCAGCAATTATTTGTCTCTAATGTTGTGGTCCAGTCCTAAATTTTTGGTGTAGCCTTTAGGAAATAAAAAACTTAACTGTTTTTCCCTGAAAGATATGGAAGTGATTTGACTGTCCTTTAGTGTGATGATGGGGGGGGGCAGTAGCCAAAAAGAAAACTGAGAGAATTTGAACTGTTGGCTCATGCCTGATTAGTTGTGTACAAAGCCATAGCCCAGAAATGAACCTGATCTTGTTTCCTTCTGAGGTTAAAGAGACCCAGTTCTAGTCAGCAGGAAAACTAGCAGCAAATTCTGGGTACAGTTATTGTGGTCAACAATTGTAATCAACCATGAGGGGAATACTGGGTGGCAGATACCGAATACGTGGAAAGAAGTAGCTTTGGGGGCACCTCTGAGTTGATTTTGTAATTCAGTGCTTTGACCAGTGCACACAGCGATAGTCTGCTAACACCGAGGTAGAAAAGTGAGCTCCAAGTTGGAATTTGGGTTTTTTCTATTTTCTTCTCCTTTCTCTTCCTAGATACAGGGGAATTTGCTAAAAAGGTTAATCAAAACCACAGAGCAAAGCAACAAAACATTACTGCACGGTGCCTCGAGCTAACAAAGAGCATTAGGGCTGAAAATATACCACCCAACACATCCAGTGACTATATAACCATCTACTTTGAAAATAAGAGGAATGGAGGTGCACAAGTGACGGATGTTCAACAGCTGCCTGACGAAGATGCAGCTATCATTACATTCAGTGACCATAAAGGTAATGCAGAAATGCAAACCCCTTATTTCTTTGAGAACTTCTTATTTAAGGATCAAAATGTGTATTTTCTAGAGAAATGCCTCCTTTTCCCTCATAAAACAGCAAATCTGGTGCTTTGTCAGCAAGTCTCTGCTAACTGCTAACAGTTTTGGGCCAGCTGGGCATGAGGCACAGAACCGTTTCCTTTTTCCAGACAGCTTATTTCACCCTGGCCCTGATCCTTATAGAGTTCAGGTTGCAGTTTGAGTGCAGGGGACTTTCCCTCCAGCCTGCCACCTTCACCACCAGCTGTCCCATGGCAATGTGTGCTGTCTAGGTCATCAGAGGACAATTTCTTGGGCAGCTTTTTTGGCTGGAGAGTAGGTGGTGTGGCTTGTCCAGTCAGTGACAGAAAGATGAGTGGAAGGTGAAGGACAAGAGGGAAGCTGGAGCCACTGCAGTGAAAGGGAGAGCTGAAGGGAAGTTGAAAGAAAGAGATGCTCTTTCTGTGGGAAAATGGAGGAGCTGGGATTTGATACTGCTGAGTATAACCCAAACAACTGCTGAGCTGGGCACTTTAAGTACAGCATATAAGAGAAGTGGGGGCAGAGACTGTGTGTACCTCCTCCCAGAAGTGGACTGTGTTGTGCTTGACTTTCTCTCTCCAACTTAGTTTCTGGCATTTAAAATAAATAATTCTTCAATAATTTGGAATTATTTCTATCTGGGAAGGGAGGGAAATGAATCTAAAAATGTTCTTAGAAATAACAAACATTATTATTTAGACAACATAGTTTAAAACCCCCAAACAACAAAAAGAACACAAAAACGAAACAGAAGATCTTAAATGCTGACATTAATAGTCTGGGGTTTTGTTTGTTTGTTTTAGATGTAACAAATATCCTGGCAAAGAAGCATACAATCAACAAAACACCAATCTCTGTCTATCCTTACTACACCTCGCTGGGAACAGCTCTATATGGAAAGGAAGGGCCACAGATAAAGAAGCCAGATCCAATTACATTGCCTCTGGACCCTTATATCTGGAATTATTTGCAAAAAAATAGCAGCCTCATTGCAGCCATAAACTGTGAAATGGCAAAGTGTAATTGTGTGCCAGCATGGCCTGAACCCCACTGTGCAGACCCAAAAGTTTCCTTGCATCCTTCGGCTGTTTTGTCTGAGCGGAAGAGATCAGTATCTCAGTTGGTCAAGACATGGAAGGAAAATGTTTCCGCAGCCTTTTCACAAAGCATATCAAAGTATGAAGCAATTCAGTGTCAAGTAAGCGCAGAGGTGTGGGAAGCCATTAGAAACAGCTTTCCCTGTGATGAAGTTCTGATGATCCCACATATTTCCAAGGATTTACTTGTTCTAGTGGGAGAAAAAGAAGTTGTGAGTAATGTTGAAGAAGAACTGAAGGTTCTGATTGAAAAGGCCGTCAGAGAAATTGAAAGAGAAAAGCAAAGAACTGAACAAGTGGTGACAGTGAGTCCAGGGGAATATGGAATTTTACAGGTTTCTGGTCTGGAAGAAAAATTTCGTATGGAGTTCCCAGGTCTGAAAATAACTTACGATTATTTGCAGAAAATAATTAGGCTATGTGGTGTGCCTGAGGAAGTTTATAAAGTAAAAGGGGAAATATTCGATACTATGCACAAAATGGTAAAGAAAACAGTTAATATCCACCCTTACATTTTCCAGTTTTTAGAGCATATTGATAATGAAACCCTGTCACAGAGTCTGTTTATGTCAAAACAAATTAATGCCTTTTATGAGCTTGGCACAGGAGCTGTCATCTTGAATGGGAGTACTCCTGAAGATCTCCTAAAAGCAGAAGAAGAAATAAAGAAGGAACTGGACTACAGAAGCATTGCATTGGAGGATGAGTCAGTCCTCCAGGACAAGGAATGGCAGATGCTCACCAAGGAAAACTGCTCTAGTGAAGCTGTAACAGTCACTCAGGCAGGAAGTCAGGTCGTCATTGCTGGTTGTTCTCAAGCAGTAGCAAAAGCCTTTGAGGAACTCTCCAGCTTTATAGATGCAAACACACAGGTACAAAGGGTCATTGGAGGGAAGCCCATGGCGGTCATGATGTTTTTTGAGAAAGAGAAGGTTGATGTTTGGGGTGGCTTACTGAAAAAAGGTGTGAAAGTTGACTTTAGCACACAGAAAAAGTATAGGGTTATATCCTTGAGTGGATCAAGGCCAAAAGTGCTGGAAGGAGTCAGCCTAGTTGAGCAAATACTATCTGGCCTGTACTATAAGCGTGTGGTAATTGGAGCACCAGGAGCCAAGTCATATTTCAAAGAGCACGAACGGGTTTTGGCCTCCCATGCAAAACAAGAGTTTAAATGTTTAGTCCGGCTGGAAGAGCACTCAGAAGAGCACCTGGAAGAACAGCAAGAACATAGTAATGAAGGCAAGCCCTATATGCAAGTGACCATGGGTGAAATTGTAATAGCAGTTTATAGAGCTGACTTATGCACTCATTCTGTTGATGTTGTGGTGAATGCGTCTAATGAAGACCTAAAGCACATTGGTGGCCTTGCTGATGCACTGTTAAGAGCTGCTGGTCCAGCACTGCAAGAAGAGTGTGATGAGCTGGTGAGGAAGAACGGGCATTTCCATCCCGGGAGCGCAGTTATCACAGGTGCTGGGAAACTCCCCTGCAAGAACGTCATTCATGCTGTTGGGCCCAGGTGGAGGAAGGAGGAGCCAGAAAGGTGCGTGGACTTGTTGAGGAAGACAGTGAAGAAAAGTCTAGAACTAGCTGAAACATACAATTGTTCTTCCATAGCTCTGCCTGCTATAAGTGGAGGGATTTTTGGCTTTCCACTGGAACTGTGTACATATTCAATTGTATCCTCTATCAAGGAGACCTTGGAAGGATCCAAGGGGGACAGCAGCTTGAAGGAAGTTCATCTTGTGGATATTGTACAGGATAACATTCAGGCTTTCAGCAAGGCACTTAGAGAAGTGTTTCCAGATTCTTCACCTTCCTACAGGTCCCTGCATCAGGCCAGTAAAATTCCTCAACCTAGGGAGCGCAAAATTTCTCAAAAAAGCAAGAACTTACCATGCATAACAACTGAGGAAGGCCTTGATATTGTGCTGCAAACAGGAAGCATTGAAGATGCTACAGTAAGTGTTTTAAATTATCTACCATTGAAATACCAAGTGGGTTTTTTTGTGTTTGTTTTTTTTTTTAAACACAAAACCAATAAATGACCAACCCTAGACCATCATCTGTAGTTAGCAATACTGCCATGTTTGACATGTTGCTGAAATTGGCTATCACTGCTGATAACAAGAATTGCTGTTAGGTGACTGTCTTACATGGTAGATACAGATGGCTGTGCAGCATTGCATTTTGTCATCTAGTCCAACCCCAAGTAGGGTCCCCTGGAGCACGTTACTCAGGATTGTGTCCAGATGGCTCCAGAGATCCCTGTGTACATGGTATGTTACAGTTTAGCAGAAGCAACTGAGGCCAGCAGGAATCGGTCTGGGCTCCAAACCCTCCCGATCCTTCCTTGCTGGGCAGAAACCACCTTCAGGCAGCATTGACCTTTCCATAAATCCTGATTATGGGAGTGTGGTACTAGTACAAAAGCAAAAGAGAGTGCTCAGTATTGGCTAGCACGAGTACCTTGCTATGTGAGACTGGCTGGTGCTTCCAGGTCCACTGTGCTCCTGCAGCAGCAGAGACATTTTCATCTGAGCCTGGGTCTATAGCCAGTCCTGTTTTCCCTGCGTCTGTGAGATATTGGTCTGGGAAACTTTTATTTGTTCTGTCACTAGCATGAAACATGCGGTTACTATTGCATTTCCTGTGAAGAACCATCTTCTCTAATTGATTTCCAGTTGCCTGCTGCATTGAAATTCTGTTAGCTGGCTGATAGCTGTTTTACTGGGATTGCCAAAACTGGAAGCAACTCTGTTCAGAACCCTTTCCGTAATGGCTGGGAAATCCTTTCTTTCAGGTGTGGATGCCTCCCACAGCTTGTGCATGCGGCTCTTCTAGTTGGACAGGACAAAATATGTTAATACCTGCAGAATATGTTAAAATGTGTACAGAGGTCCTTCCCAAGGAGCTGGATATAGGACTTGACACAATGTTCATAAGCCTTTGTATTTCTCTCATTTAAAAGTTACTGCTTTTCTTACTTCTTTCTCCTTAGGTTTCCTCCAGTCTTGTTTGTCTTCAGGTTCTGCTTTTCCCCTAGACCAGCCATGCATGGGAGCCCTGCCTACCTCAGTGAACATAGATTTCGGTCTGTGAGCCTCTCTTGAAGAACAAACTTGCATAAATGTTTTTCAAGTGGAGGTAGAATGAATAAACCAGGAATGCAGAATTTTAAGTTTCTCCCATCAAGCTGAAATGAATTTCATTGTTAACTCAACTTTTGTGTTCCTCTGGGTAGGCTCATGGTATTAGAATTGAGCATAACTTCTATTTCATTCCAAACTTTGCTCACTCTGATTGCTGTCCCAAAAATTTACTTTGTAAGTCATCAGGCAGGTTTTGATTAATCAATGCAAAATTTAAATTTGGTACTTAAAAGGTAGAGGTTTTGCTTGCGTGTTTTTCAGACATCCATTGTTGTCATCAGTGTTGGCAAAGATCTCCAGCTTGATAAAGGGCCACTTGCTAAAGCTTTGCTAAGCAAGGCAGGGCCAATGCTTCAGACAGACTTGAGAAAAGAAGGCCTTGGAAGAGCTGAGGAGGGAGCTGTATTGAAAACAAATGGTTACAATCTAGACTGCAGTGTTGTGCTTCATGCTATTGTACCTGCGTGGTTCCAGAGAAAAACATCTTCAAAGGTATAAGGTGTTTTATTGGCTGGAATTTGTGTGGGCTTTATAGTGTGTTTAATGCCACTTTTCCTTTGAAATCAGGGACAGTGTCACAGAAGACAGGAGAGTTTGACCTGTTCTTTTTTAACTGTGGGGCTGATCTCTTGTTGATTGATGAATTCCTTGTGATGTATGCAATTAATTGTATTTTATTACCAAGCTAAAAGGGAAAGTGCTATGTTGCACACGCTGGAAAGAAAATTACCTTTAGTAACTGAAAAAATGATTGTGCTTTACAGGTCTTCGGTGACATCATCACAAAATGTCTGGAGATTGCTGAAGAACTGTCTCTAAAGTCAATTACTTTTCCAGCAATTGGGACAGGAAATTTAGGATTCCCAACCTTTATTGTTGCTAAATTATTGTTTGACAAGGTGTTTGAATTCAGTAGTAAAAATGGAGTAAATTCTCTTGAGGAAGTTCACTTTCTGTTGCAACCAAAAGACACAGCTCATATTCAGGTAAGTTACTCTGGTTTTCTTTCTCTATCATATGCTGGTTTATTTGATGATACTTGGCTATCTGATGATCTTCAAAGAATCCACAGGGTGCTTGTTCTTACACTAAAGAAAAACTTTGCTGACAGTCTCTCTTGTCTATACTCAATTGTCTCATGAACTCACCTAATTCTTCAGTCAATAGGTCTTGACAGGTAGGTTGTAACTCCTGCATCAATGCCTCCACCCCTGGAAAAAAAGGAGTGTTTAGATGGAGTGCTGGTGTCTTTTTAGGAAAAATAATTGTGCTAGGTATGCTGTGCTGACAGACTTCTCCAGTAGAAACATCCCAGTATTCTGCATCCCCCTTTCTTTAGTATCACTTTAGCACAAATTTTCTGTATGCTTGCTCTAATTACTCATTTCACACCGAAAGAGAGCAGTCACACTGTGAATTAATGTCCAGATAAGTGTTTCTGCATCTGTTGGCTTCTGCTATTTTGTGCAGTAGCTAATACGTTTATATAGAGAGGGGTGGCATTACTTGGAAAAGCTGAGTTAGTGTAAACTAGCCCCTCAGTCTAAGGATGCCATCTCTTGCTCTATCCCTGTGGAATGGGGCTAGGCCTTTGACTTACTCATTTGTGATTCTGCCTATTGTTCACGCTGAAAAGCCTTGCTCTCTGAGAACAACATGTGCCATCTTACCATCACATTATGGCAGATGGTATGAAGTAATTTGTGTTTAGCTCTTTCTAAATGTTTTTTAACTTGACTTTTCAAACTTTTATTTCTACTGTGTAAAGAACTTCTGCAGGGGTTGATTGTAATTTCCTTCTCTAGATATTTTTAGAAGAACTTGAGAAGAGGTGTGGAAATACTGCAGGTGTTGAAATGCAGAAGCCTTCTCCAAATGAGGCTGGCCAAGGCACAGGTAAGCTTATTTCACAGAAGCTACATGCCTAGTGGATTCTTTTATTCTTTAAAATATTCCAGGGAATGCATTCGTAATGGATGTTTAGATATTTGTTTGGTGAGCATTTAATTCTCAAATTCCAGGTGGCTGTATTTTCAGGTTGAGTTATGTCTGAAATAGTATTGGAGATGCTAAGAAAAAAATTGTACCTATGATTCCTTATCCGGATAGTCGGGACAGCAGAAGCTATCATGTGCCAAGGGCACAAGCAGAGCTTTTTCTTTTGTTATTGCAGCACTAGATTCAACTGTGAAGAGGTCAATGTCTTTCTATGTCCTGGGAAGGCAGATGAGTTCCTGGTTATGTGTCTTAGAGTGGTCTCTTTGGAATACTCTTAAACCTTTTACGTGTTCAGATGAGTAGCAAAACCAAACTGAAATATCTTTGGTGTTATCCAGCTTAACAGAACTGCAGCCTGTAAAAAATCAGTTACATGTTGAAAACTGAAATAAAATTTTACAAATAACACATAGGTAAAAAATTCCACCTGTCATGCAGTCGAGAAGCTGCCTGGAAACTCTGTGAGACAGAGGAGCAAAAGAGTAAGACTTGGAAAGTTTGCTGCTCTCTTACATAGAGGTTTTACAAAGGCTTATACTGTGAAATGTCACTAAGTAGTGTCCTGTATTCCAGGTGTGCAGCAAAACACATTTTCCCTGCCATCCTGTCCTGAGTAGAAATTATGGGAATAGTGCAGGTTGAGCAAGGACTCCTGTGAGAAGGGATGATTTTCAGTTAGCATGGCAGGCAATCCTCTCCACGGGCTGAGTCTGTAGCCAAACTGTGGTGTCTATAGGTGTTGTACCCATGAACAAGTCCCTTATCTTTTACATCATCAGTCCCTTCTGCTCAGGGTCTGTATTTCTTTTCCTGCAGCTTTTTCTACTACCTCTTCAACCTCAGCACATAATTTACTTGAAATGACAATTGGCTCCATCGTGTTCCAGGTGGCAGAAGGTGATATTACCAAGGAAAAGGGAGATGTCATTGTAAACATAACAAACCAAACCTTCAACCTCCAAACAGGTATTTTAGTTGATATTGTGTGTGAAAACAGTATGTGTGCTTGGAAGGGCTGGGAAAGGAGACGAGGAAGTATTTTCTTCAATGCTTCATACCCTTTTATTTTTTTTCACAGTGTGGTTTCTGTTTTGCTTCTTAGGGTACAAAGGTTCAATTAAGTACTGTCTGAAACTTTATTTTCTTGGTAATCTATGTTACAGGATGGCATGTTTAAGACTCTCTTGCAGAAAGGGAAACTAATAATTTTTTGGTTTTTTAATATAGAATCTTTTTATAGAATACCTCTCAGACTAAAGGAGAAGACAAACCTCAAGGAGTTTTGACCTTGGGGAAACTTTTTGGGTACTTTAGACATCACTTTGTGTTGAAAAGCGGAAGTCTAAAATTTTGGCAGCAGTGCTTTTCAATGAAAACATTTACTGTTACTGGCATTGAGATATTTTTAGATATTGTGCGGATACAGTTCTGCTTCAGAAGGGACTTTAACAGTATTAACAGTAGTAACAGTGGATTCATGTGCCTCTTCTCATTTAAGGTGTCTCAAGAGCAATTCTGAATGGTGCCGGAAAAGCAGTTGAAGTTGAATGTTGTCTACTAGGTATGGTACAACATTTCTGACCCTTCTGAAGGTGTTAATGCACAGCAGGGAATCTGCTGGAATAATTTATCAATGTTGCCTACTGTACTTCCATCTGTATTATGCACTGTGTTACAGCAGCTAGTTTTTAAATCAGTTAATGTAATATTTGTAAAACATCTAGTGAAGGAAGGAAAAGAAAAATCTTCAAAAGGAGATGGCTTCTGAACACATGTAAAGATCTAAATCTGTTAGTTATTACATCCTCTTATTCCAATAAAGCTTTCCATGATAAAAACAAAAAGTTTACATCGAACAGAGCAAGCAAGATGTTGTCAGAAATGTTAATAGACAAGCCATAAGTTACTGGAAACAACTGTCTACCTGCAACTCCTTTCGTTATTTCTGAGTAAGAAAATGTTTGCTTTGGCATAACTAGTAATCCACTACCACATCCTCTATGTGACTACTTTTCAGTAGTGTGAAGCTGGGTTCCTGCCTCAGAAGAGGCATTTATTTGTAGACCAAATTGAGCTGGTGAACAGCAGCTGTAATGAAAGGGAAGTAAGGATGGACAAGTATGTGGTTTAAAACCCCACAAAATAAAGGAAGTGGGAAAGATGAAGGTGTGGAGGTCAGCTTGGAAGACCAAACAAAGGAAAAGAATTATGTGGAGGCAATCAGGGGTAAAAAAACCTCTCTTGCACAGGCCAAGAGGGTAATTTGGGCTAGGCAGCCCGGGGGTAGATGTCATGCTTGTGTGTTTGTGAAGACAGTGTGCCTGTCTGCATAAAGTTCTCCAAGTCTGCAGAGCAAACCGGATAAATAAAGATGCACACAAAATTTATTTATCAAAAGAGGCACATATCTTACAAACATAAATTGAATCCTTGTGCCTTGAAAGTGAAAATAGAGAGAGGGAGTTGCTTATTCTATGGACAGAGACATGAAGCTTATCCTGGGGTATATTTGTCACCACTTCTTATTTCTTAATGAGAACTAGTACACATCTATATTGTGGATAATTGTTGATTATGTTCTACTACTTCTTTCAGCCCAAAAACCTCACAAGAGCTATATCATCACCCAAGCAGGAAACCTACCATGCAAAAAAATAATCCATTTTGTTGCCCAAGATGACATCAAGTTTCTAGTTTTCCAGGTGCTCCAGGAGTGTGAATTACAGGGGTACACCTCTGTCGCCTTCCCAGCAATTGGAACAGGTCTGTGTCTCCCTTTTTTGAAATGGGTTCAGTGCATATGATTCTGGTGATCTCAGGGCTCAAGGAATGAGTTTGATTTATCTGGAGGGGTTATTATTTGGTGAAAATATATTCGGAAACTGCAGTCTTCAAAACTGTTATTAGAGATTTATGAAGAGCTAGAAAGCTTCACTCCTTGCAGACGTTTAGTACATAAAGAGTATGAGTATTCTAGAACCAACACTTCCTTGCTAACAGGGATTCAAAGGTATATCTGGGCTTCCTGGAGAACCTGCAGCCTGATATGTGTGCAGCTCAGGGAGAACAGCCAGGGAGCTACTTCTCCACTGCTGAAATCAGTAGATGCAACTCTGCCTGGCAGCCACACAAGCAGGGTTGATGCAGATGGAACATGAGCCAGTCAAAAAGGCCAGATTGTCCCTTTTTCTTCTCTTGTTATTTTCAGTTAGTTCGGTAGAAATCCATAGCATCGGAGAATCCAGAACTGTGCCCCATGCATGGGGGAACCCCTTGCATGAACAAAACTAGGCCTACATTTTGAGCAAGGAGTTGGTTACTGGGCCACTGAGTGTCAGGCCTGTGGCCTATTAGGTACTCAGGCTGTACAATCTACATCATAACCTGAATGGTTGCCATGCCAACAAAAGGAAACTTCCATTTTTCCCTTGCTGGAAAGGTGGTCTCAAACGTTCTTCTCATGATAAATAGAAACCTTTCCTAATTGCCTGCCTGACATTATTCTTGACCTGTTTATGATCCAAGTGATTGTGGGTATGTTCATAGCTGTTCTTGTAAAGATGTTTTAATAATTTGCAATTAGCAGTTCTTAAAAGCAAAATATCTCTAACTTTTTTCAGGAGAGGCAGGCCGCAATCCTGCTGAGGTAGCTGACAAGATGATAGATGCAGTAACTGACTTTGCAAGAAGGAACTCTCCTGCATCTGTGAAAACTATTAAAGTTGTCATCTTTCAGCCACATCTGCTGAGTGTGTTCCATGCAAGCATGCAGAAAAGAGAAAGGCCTACTAAAACACCAGTCAAATCATTTATTTCCAAGATAAAATGTAAGTAGATGTCACTTAAGTGCAGGCTATAGATCAATCCGTTTAGCAGCAGGTAGTAATAATTAATATTAATGACAATATTTATGTATTTCAATGTAGCATTCCGGAGCCCTGAGAAACGTTCCCCAAAGGAAAAAAGCACAGAAGTTTTGGAAAAGAAAATTGACCTGGCTGTTGTGCAAATTTGCGGTGAAATTAAAAAGGAAGTGGAAGAAGCTGAAAACTGGCTGAGAAGTGCAATTTCAAAGGAACAGCTTCAGACAGAAATTGTAGATGACTCCATCTCTCATTTCAGTAAAGAAGAGAATGAGGAACTGCATCACCTACAAAAGAAATTAAAAATTGCTCTTTATTTGAAGGGTACCTCTATTGGAATTTCAGGTTTTGGGAAAGATGTCTGGATTGCTTATTCAGCTATTCAGAAAATGATCCTCAGGGTAAAAGCTACTAAACAGGAAGAGGTCCAAGCAGGACTTTTACAAAATTTAATTGAATGGCAATATTTTGAAGAGGATTCCTATGTGCCCTTTGACAGTCTTACAAATATGCAGTTGGAAAATGCTTACAGGGGAAAGCAGAAAAGTATTTCAGTCACCATTGGTGATAAAAAATACACAGTGGATATGAAACTTAAATATGCTGTGGATGACCAAGGAAAACAAACAGCCATTAGACGTGTTGATAAATCTGAAGGTAGGTAAAAGCATCTTGACAAACTGAGGTTCCATGTGAAAACCAGGTTGCATCCAGCCTAATAAGAGAAGGAATGGTAAGAATATTCAAAGTATTGTTAGGAGCTTTGTGCAGTTGCTTTTCTGGAGAATGTAGAAAGGAGCTGAATTGGGAATTAAAAATAAAAGAACCCTGCAGTTTTTTAAAATATTTTGAAAAGTAGGTAATGCGTTCTGAGGTTCTTATCAAGCTTTCTAGCAATAATTAGGTGTTTGTAGCGGCTGTCATTCTAGCTCTCAGCTCACTTCTGGTTTTGAGATGTATCTTTTCTATTTACTGCTGATCCTGATAAGGAGCTACCTCTTTCTGACTCATCCATAAGCAAGATGTATGGGCTTTTAGAAGGATTTGTAGCAGGGCATATTGAATTTTAAGCAGGGGATTTGTGTAAATATGACTGATCATGTTTCTTCTGCAGATCAAGAGTCAACAGTGCTCCCTGCAACATGGGACAATATGGAAAATGAGCGACTCAAAATAGTGGAACTAAGACCAGAAACAAGAGAGTACAGAGATGTGCAGGAAAGGTTTCTGCAGACCTGTCAGTCATTCAGAATTGAAAAGGTACGTCATAATTTCTGAGCACTAATGCTTTGATGGTAAGTGATAAAAGATACTAACAACAATGGAAAAAGTAATTCCACTGGGATTTCTGGAGTTGGACAAGTCTTTCTGGCTGTCACTAACTTCAACCAGCATCAGTTTAGTGGGGTATTTGAAGCAGCTCTTGAGCAGTTGCTTCTTCAGCGCCAAGGGAGAGTGCTCTTGGAATGGTTTTTGCTGTAACAGAGCACAGCATTTGCCCACGTAAGCTGTGTGGGCTGTGCAGGCAGGGGCATCATCTCTGGCCCAGAAACCTGCAAAACGCTCCTCTGTTGTTTCCCATGGAGTGTCTCTGTCATGTTCTGGGCTGGGTTCTGCTATCTGTGTGCCAAAGTTTGGAAGGATTTGAATAACTTGTTTCATCATTTGGTATAAAAGCATTGGAGCTGGGAGGGGAATCTTGGAAGCAAATCGAACTGTCTATGCACAAATTTTTTTCGTGACAGCAACCTGCCCTCTTTCTTTCTGTCTTTCTTACTTCAAAACTTTGCAGATTGAAAGGGTACAGAACCCATATTTTTGGAAGGCCTACCAAATAAAAAAGCGTGAAATGGATAAAAAAAATGGCAACACAAATAATGAGAGGCTTCTGTTTCATGGGACGAGTAAAGAGTCATTAACCTTAATTAACAACCGTGGATTTGACCGGAGCTATGCTGGAATGCACGGTAAAGTGACTATCTAAGCAACCCTTATTTTCCTGAAGGAGGCCAGGACTGATTTACCATGCCATCTGAATAGTCCTGCCTTGCAAAATCATTTGTTTTGTTATATCTCTGTATTGCAAATAAATAGCAAATTCACTAGCTCTGAAGGTGGCAGATAAGGGATTGCTGCTACTGAAACACTCACAAACATTTGTTTTTCTGACTACAGCTGCAAACTTCGGAAATGGAACGTACTTTGCTGTTAATGCCAACTATTCTGCCCACGACAACTACTCTAAACCAGACACGAATGGGAAGAAGCACATGTACTTGGCTCGAGTCCTTGTTGGAGAATATTCTCAGGGCAGAAAAGGAGCGATCACTCCAGAACCAAAAAATGCTAGTAACTCTATAGATCTGTTTGATAGTTCGACTGATGATGTGAGCCGGCCATCCATGTTTGTAATTTTTAATGACATTCAAGCTTACCCAGAATACCTTATCACTTTCACTAGATAAGTTGTTTTGATTGCAGCCAAGCTTGCAGGTCTTTCAGCCTTTGTATAGGATGGAAACACCTATAACAAAACACACAGTGAAAACAATAATTAGTTGTATCAAATTAATTTCTATTTCCATTTAAGCAATCTGGCAATTTCTGATACCCCTGGAGTAGACTTCTTGTTTACACTTGGAGCAGCTGAGCATGTTTAACACTTGAGCATAACTTTGTACTGAAAACTTCTGCTAGATTACATATTAAGTCTTTGTACTGTATCGGCTTTTCCATGCAGCCTTAGGGCCTTCCTAATTGCTGATGAGGAGTGGGAAGGGATAGTGCAGCCACGGACTGTACAGTGTTGCATTTCTGATGCCTTCTTACACTCTGTAAGTGACAATCTCATTGTGGATTATGACACAGTGGTTTTCAATAAATAAACTAGTCATAGTTAATGGCTTATGTTTGTCTAGACCTCTCAGAACATTTAGCATTGATTTTCAACCACTGAACTTCAATGAACTTGATGTTACAGATATGGATTGACTTGTTTTTAATACCATAAACCTGCTGCTTTGCAGTGCCTCCAACTACTGAAAACTCTTAGCTCCTCTGAATGAATTGGCTTTGACTTATTTGGTTAGATGATTAAGAAAAAAAATCTTCCAATACCTTCTTTACATAGTTAGTTGGGTTGCTGTTAAAGTTTTACTGTTGATGTGTCCATGTGAGCAATAACTATTGCAGGGGAACTGTGGCCAAGGAACACCTTTTCAGGGAATGTGGTGTGAAGTACTGTGAGCCTGCAATTCAAGTATCTCAGTAGAGCCATGAACATCAGGCTGTTCATTCGCACCCACCCCATTGTGACAGTGCTGGAACAACTCCCTTTGGGCCTTATTGCTTCTCATTATGTCATTTTTCTAACCACTGAAAAATGCTGACTGTTGAAATCAAGTGTCTTGAAATCAATTTCACCTGGAGCTTAAAATCAAGATATGGTTATGGGGGCCAAAAGTCTTAAGTTTTACTTTTACAATGAATAAACTTATTAAATCTCTGTAACAATACCCATGGTCCATGGTTCATCAGTGTGCCAGGAGCCAGAGGAGATGGCTCCAGGTGCTTCATTGCAGCTGGCGGGTCACTGGTACCAGTCTGACCATTCCCTCCAGAAGACAGTACTGCATCAGTTCTCAGCTTCCCATTGCCACAAGAAGCTGCAGAGGACACCAGGGTATTTTTTCACCAGTGGTTGCATTACAGGTGCCATGGGCATCCAGCATGGAACATAAACCTGCAGCACTGGGCTCTGTGCAGGCAATGAGTGACAGATGCTACTTATCCAGTTTATTCTAATCAAAAGGCAAAGGTGGGGGGCAGGAGCACACAAAGGGACATAGAATCGTAGAATATCCTGAGTTGGAAGGGATCCACAAGGATCATCAAGTGGAACTCCTGGCCTTGCACAGGACAGCCCTGAGAGCATTGTGCAAATGTTTCTTGAACTCTGTCAGGCTTGAGGCTGTGGCCACTTTCCTGGTCACAGGGAAGCCTGTTCCAGTGCCCACCCACCCACCGGATGAAGAACCTTTTCCTAATATCCAACCTAACTGTCCCCAAGTAGAGCTTCAACCTGACACTGCTTGTTCCGCCCTGACCTTGTTCCTCCAGCAGCAGTGTTGCAGAATGTGGCATATGTAAAAGTTTTCTTAAGAAACCATCTTCTCTGAGGTTTAATCTTTGTATACTTTCAAGCTTAATCAACAAGAAAGGAGATTTAATCCATGAAACAGATAGCAGCTAGCAAGAAAGCTCTAATTGCTGTCCAGGTGTTAGACAAAGTACTTGTTGGTAGAATTGCCTTGTTAAGGTTTAGAGCTCGACATGTCTCAGTGATCTCAGACCTAGGATGAGGTTACCAAAGCTTCAGGAGAAGGATGTACCACTGACAGTGAACGTGAAGAATGCCAAAAGGACATTTGGCAGGATGCTCAAGATAAGGAAGAAACTATTAAAGATAACTCAGCAAATCGGCTGAATCAGCTTGACTGGGGTAATATTTTGAGAACAATTCCCATGTGCCCTCTGACAGCCTCACAAATATGCAGTTGGAAAATGCTTATTGGGGAAAGCAGAAAAGTATTTCAGTCACCACTGGTGAGAAAAAATACACAGTGGATATGAAACTTAAATATGCTGTGGATGACCAAGGAAAGCAAACATCCATTAGACATGTTGATAAATCTGAAGGTAAGTAAAAGCATCTTGACAAACTGACGTTTGGATATTTGGCAGGATCCCCAAGATAAAGAAGAAACTATTAAAGATAACAACTGTGCTGAATCGGCTTTGACTGGGGTAATGGTAATTCCGGCAAGGGGAGATCATGACCACCAACTCACTTGGCCCACCAAGTGAAGAAACCCACCGACCCAAAAGAAGAGAAAGATTGAGAGCATGTGGATTAATTGGCATGAGAAGTAAGACAATCGTTAACCAGCAGAAGACAGGAGACTAATTAATAAGAGAACTAAGTAACTTGTAGCCAAGGAACATTACTGCCTTTGTTTGATAAAATATATGAACAGTGAAAGAAACCGCTTTGGTAGTCTCTGTGCTGGCTTTGTGGATTTGCCACCCAGCGCTTCTTTCTGCACAGAACTGTAAATAAATGAAATGCTCGACTGCATGTGTGGATTGGCCTCTTGTACAGCGGGTGAAAGAAACTCTTTTGGGACAACAGCGACACGGGCTGGCAGCCCCCGGCACAGGGGCAGAGGGGACATTCTGTCAGGTGAAGGGGGGGCCCGAGGCAGCTTTGGGTGCTCGAGGGGGAGAAAAGCTTAAGGGCGCGGGTGTGAAGCTGCGACGGGGGTCCCGAGGAGCCGTCCTGGGGCGGGTGTGCCGCGACAGACGGCAGCGGAGCCCCGAGAGGCGGGTGCCTGCCCGGGAAAAGGCGCGGCGCCGCTCTGGGAAGCGAAAGCGAAAGCGGCGGGGAGCGGAGCCGTCGGTGCGGCGATGGCGGGGCAGCGCCCGGGCGCCTTCCCGCTGCTGGTGCGCGGGGACTGGGGCTCCGCCGAGCCGCCGCCCGCCCTGAAGAAGAAGCTGCTCTGCTACTTCCAAAGCCAGAAGCGCTCGGGAGGCGGCGAGTGCGAGCTGCGGGCCGGGACCGACGCCGAGACCGGCACCGGGCACCTCCTCGTCTGCTTCGCCCGCCCCGAGGGTGAGCGGCCGGGCCGGGCGGTCGGGGCGGGGGACCCGGCGGGTCCAGGGCTCGGGGTATGGATCAGGGTGTGGGCTCCCTGCGGGGATGAGTGAGGGTGTTGGGGGTGGCAACTCACAAGCCTAAACCTCCCGCTAGTTAAAAGATACGTTCTAACTTAGTTGTAATACTATCTCCTGTCTAGTATGTCATCTACAGTATCTATAGTACATAGATACCATATACACCCCCTAATATACAGTATAGATAGTCTCTAAACATGGTGTGATTCTTGTGGATGTCCTGTGCAGGGCCAAAACTTGGACTCAGCGATTCTTGTGGATGCCTTCCAACTCAGAATATTCTGTGATTTTTTTTCTTATCTATATGCTTAGATTTGGTGTTTAGTTCTATCCTCTGGATTATGTGTTGCAGAAAAGCTATAAGCTAATAAATATATCCTACTAGCTATATGTCCATATATATTAATCTTGATGCACACTAGTATTCTCCAGATTGCTCTTGGGATAATAAAGGTTACACTAATCTAACAATATATGTGGTAGTTACAGATATATATGTATAAAATATGACATATATAAGATGCCTGTATTTCTCTAAACTTGCTGCAACGTGGAAAGGATTTAGCTGCATTTGGGTTAGATGTACACATACACATGCATGTATGTGCATAAACACACACACAGATATATATTTTTTTTTTTCCTTGCCTTATGTATCCCAGTTGCTGACTCAAAGAGCCGGTAAGTTCAGGACATAGAGCCACAAGCCATCTTGGCACTGGCTGAAAGAGGATGTGAAAGGCTTGTGGGCGGAACCGGGACTCAGTGGATACCCCCATAAAACACGTGATAGAGCTGAGCTTTGCATCTCTCGTGTTGCTTTGGGGAAATAATGTCCTCTGCTGTTCCGTTTCTTTTCAGGCAGAAAGCCTTGTGTGTACTGTGTTCGTGTTACGAGTTGAAAGCTCTTTGATTTCGTGAGACAGCATGTGTGTCTGTCCTGGGTCCGGCTAGGACAGGGATAACTTTTGCAGCAGCCGAGAGGGGCACAGCCAGGACCCAGGGGATATTCGATCCCACCTCAGCAAGCACAGGGGGAGCGGGCAGGGAGGGAGGTTTTCCAGTGTTTGGCGAAATAAGTGGTTGGGTGAGCAATGGCGCCTGAAGTGCTCGCCCCTATTGTACACTCTGCTATTAGGATTGGGGATGTTACTGCCCGTTTTTCTGATTTCTAGTAAAATGGCCTTATGTCACCCTGTGACCTTTAATTTTTTGTGCCTCCAGTTCTCCTCTCCATCCCATCACCAGGGGGTGCAGGGGTAGGGGGTGGTTAGCAAGCAGCATGTGATGTGGGGTGTTTCAGTGAGAGCAATAAATTGTGAAATACCATTCCTAAACCATGACAGTGTCCTAACGTAATGGTGGAAATGCGCTAGGTAATCCAAAGCTGTATTTCTATTCAGATTTTCACTGGGGTGTTTTGGTTTAATTTAGTGAAGCAACGAGTTCTTCAGAGACAGCCTCATGAGTTGCATTTGGAAGGAAAAGGAAAAGTGAAGTTGACTGTCACAGAGCCTGAAACCACACGAGCTACTGAAGAGGAGACACTTGAAGAAAAACTAGCTCCCACAGAGGTGAGTAAAAATTATAATCCCAACCAGAGGTTTGAAACAGTGGTGACAGCATGAGATCTGTCACTGATATTTTGCTTTCACTTTATTTTAGGCTCTGGATGCCATGAGCAACCTTCAAACAAAAGGTATTGGTGCTTTTCTCCACACATGGCTCCCATTCTGGGGGCAGTTTTGCTGAAAGTTTCCGAGTTTGGTAGTGTGACTCAGGTGATAGAGGGAAAGATGTCTGGCTGGTGACGCTGCAGACTTGATCACCACAAATGGAGTTCACCTGGCCAGACTTGGACAATGGGCCTGGTTTAGCTTCCTGCTGCACTGATGGCAGGGCATGGTGGTCATCAGGGGGCTTTACGTCTAGTCAAGCAGGGCTGCTGGTGGCCTGTGGTGCCTGTGGATGTCCTGGGCTGTGTTCAGGCTTATTACACCTGCACCAGGGCTGAGAAACAGATACAGAGGCTGCAGAGTGTCTCCCAACCCTTACTGACATCTGGGCAGCTGTGGCCAATTATCTCAAAGGCTTTTAGCTGAGTTTAGTCTCTGACCCAGAGACACATCAGTGACCTTGACTTGTTTACTCATGCCTACTTTTGTGCCACCACAGAAGGTGCCTGCAGCTTGCAGAATATTGCATCTGGGCTGGTTTGGATCCCAAAATGTCGAGGGATACCCTACAGTATTTGTTTGGTTAGCAATTTCTTTTCTTGGGGAAGGAAAGGAGAGTAAGGGTAAGAAGAATCTGCTTATTCCGGGAAATGTGTACCAACATTCTGTGACTTACTTATCTTTGTGCTGCAGAGAGTTTTGTTCCAAGCAGCGAACTCCAGGAAGAAGCTGGCTTGGCAGAGACCTCACCTTCGGTGGTGTTTGAGAACATACAAAAATGCAGTCCAAACTGCTTACGTTTGCTGTTGGAGAACATCAGCAGCCTGACTGTAGATGAGGACTTCACTGTGGAAGTGATACCTGAAATAAATGTTGCTGTAGCTACCTTTATACAAAGTCTTGGTAAGAGAGGGGGACACCATCATTCATCACCGTGTAGATGTACAAGTAACAGCTTTCAGAGCCCGATTCCTCTCCTGTTAGAGATCCAGACTGTTTTATAAAAGTACCTGGGTTGCAGTCTCTCAAGAAAGATGTTTTACATACAGCTCTGCCAAAGTGTCTGCGACCCAAATGTTACACTGAAAAAAGAAAATGGTGGTGCCTCCATTCATTGAAATTGGATGAGAATGGTTCATTGTTCCCATCTTGGCTTGGGTTAGATGAAGAAGAATTGGAAGTGCACAGAATGTGGGGATTTTTGCAAGTTGTTGAGCTATATAAAGTCTCCTTTTGAGAAGACAGGATACTTCTGAGATGGGAACAGAGACACAGTGGTGTCTTTTTCTCTTTTTTATTACAACATAGAGTAATTTGGCACCCAAGACACTTTTGTTCCAAGTACAGGGAGAAGTAGACTGGGCTCGTTCTCTTCCAGGATGGATAGCTGAGGCTGATGTTGACCCAGGAAAACACGGTCCCTTCCTCCTGCTCTTCTCTTTACAGATACTGAAGAGTTTGTGAAAACATGTTTACAACACAAGAGAGTCAGAGAATTCAAAATGACTGCCAGGGTTCTTGAATTAACCCGGACCATCAAGGCCGAAAACCTCCCGGACAGCATTTCCCCAGATTACATCACAGTTTACTTTGAGAGTGCGCGGAACGGAGGGGGGCCTGTGTCAGATGTCCAGCACTTCCCTGAGGAGAACTCAGCCATCATTACTTTCTGTGATCGCAAAGGTAACACTGTCTTTTGCCTGACCAAGGTGCTCACAGGCAGACAACTCGCAAGCAAATCATTGCAGATTTTTCATTAGGGAAAGCCTGGCTTGCTGTCGCTAAAGTCAGCGTATGCTGCCTTTTTCCTGAGTGCTCTGGATTTAGAAATACTGCTGCATGTCTAGGGTTTCGGAATCTCTTGTGGTTTCCCTGGGTTTGGTTTCTTTTTGGTGTTTATTTTTCTTTATCTTATCAAAGATTCCTTTTAATACCTGCTTTGTGCATGGGTTGTTCGCACTGGTGTTTTTTCCCCATTTGCAGAGGGTTTTATCTGCAGTACAACACTAATTGTACTTAGAGGTAGAGAGAGCAGGATCTGTCAATGACTTCAGCTTTCGCAGTTCACTTTCAGAAACTAATTAGGATGAAATATCTTCATTTCAGGCAAGAATAAAGCTAAAGAACAATCTAGTTACTATTCCTTGTGTTGAATCACTGTCCTGTTTTTGTGCTGTGCAACCTCTGGTAAATACCTCTGTGTTAGGAGACTCCTGGCGTAGTGAAGTTATTTCCTCTTAGTTAAAGATTTATCTGCCAAGTGATTCCTTTTCATCTGACACTCAGAATTTTCTTAAGAATATTTTTTACATTAAGTTAATATGTAATTTGGATCATTATAATGTGGTTTTAAGTCACTGCCAACATTCTAATTTCTTTGCTTAGTCCATTCCAACTAAATTGGCAAAAAGAAAAAAGGGTAAAATGCACTAGCCTAAAGAATTTCATTTGAAGTTAAGGAGTATTTCATAGTATATGTTGATATAGCCCTGCTCTGTGGTGAAGTTTCCTTAGGAAACAAGAGTAAGGTGTAGCTCTACATGTAAATGCAGACACAAGCATATTTACCCAACTAGTAGGAGCCAAGCCTCTTCCATTGTCCCCTACAGAGTGGTTTGGAAATCCGAGAGACATAAAAATAGCTCTTTGAAATTAAAGAGAAAAAAAATCAATGTAATAGTTCTATAACCAGAGACATTTGCTTGATTTGAAGTTAATGATATCTTTGTGTTTGTACATATGTGCACTGCCTTTCAGATGTGAACACGGTCTTGGAAAAGCAGCATTTGCTGGAACAGACACTGATTTCTGTGCATCCCTATTACCACTCCCTGGGAACAGCTCTCTACGGAGGAGAAAGACCAACTATCAAGATGCCAGACCCTGTTGGGGTGCCACTAGACCCGTATGTCTGGCAGTTTTTACAAAGGCATAATAAACTGATCCAAGGCATAAACCAGGAAATGGCAGTTTGCCATTGTGAGCTCAAATGGCCCCAGGCAGACTGTGCAAACCCCAACGTCACGTTGTGCCCTTCGTCATCTCTCTCCGAGCAGAACAAGGCAATGATTAAGTTGATCAAGACGTGGAAGCAAGATGCTTCTGAGGAGTTCTCACGTATCATGGCACGTTACACAGCTATAAAATGTAAAGTCAAGTCAGCAGATTGGGGAGATGTGAAAACCAGGTTGTTGGAAGATGTTTCTTTGATCATAACTGATATTTCTGAGGACGTGGTGGCGATTGCAGGCAGCAGAGCAGCAGTGGAGAGCGCAGAGAAAGAAGTGAGGGAATGCATGGAAAAGGCCATGAAGCAAAGTGAAAGGGAAAAACAAAGCATAGAAATTTCTGTGCCAGTGGTCCCAGGGAAGTATGCTGTGCTACACAATGCTGGGTTAGAAGAGAGTATTCACAAGGAATATCCATGCCTCAGGATCTTTTATGATGACAAAATAAAGGCTGTTCAGTTCTGTGGATTACCTGCAGAAGTATATAAAATCAAAGCTGACTTACTGGAAAAGGTGTTGAGTATGCCTTATACATCAGTGTCCATTGATCCCCATGTTTTCCACTATCTACAGGGTTTGGATAATAAAAATATGTCAGATACATTATTCCTTCAGAAAAAAATTAATACTTTTTATGAACTTGAGGAGGATACTGTGTTGCTGTATGGAGATTCTCCCACAGACCTTTTAGAAGCAGAAAAGCAAATAAAAAACAGCTTAGAATCCAAGTGCATCAATGTGGAGGACGGTGAGGTCATGAAAAAAGAGCAGTGGAAGAAACTTCTTGTCTCCTTGCATAAGACATACAGTTCTTCCCAGGAAACTGTAATCACTGAGCAGTCTGTTGGAAAAGAAAATAAAGTGATTATTGCTGGCTTTTCTAAGGCTGTGACAGAGGTTTATCAGAAGCTTAATGATTTTATAGATAAAAACACGCTTGTGGAAAAAATAATCCCAGCAAGATCAGTGGTGGTAGAGTTCATAGAGAAGGAGAAATCTGGTGCTTATTGTGAATTGAGGAAGAAAGGGGTGACAGTACGTTTTGACATCAAGACACCATGTATTTCCCTGAGGGGACCAAGAGCAGAAGTGCCAGAAGCAGTCAACATGTTTGAAAAACTTGTCTCATCCCTTTACTCAAAAAATGTGCCAATTGATAAGCCAGGAGCCAAAGAGTTCTTCATTGAGAGGCAAGATTCCTGTGTTTTTGAGGCAAAGCAGAAATTTAGATGTTTCATTAGAATCAAGGAAGAAGAAGAAAAACAACAACAACAATGGAAGGGTGAGAAAGTGAAAAGAAAGCTCTACTATGAAACAAGACTGCCACATGGAATTGTAGTAGCAGTGTATAAAGGTGACTTGAGTGATTATCCTGTTGATGTTGTGGTGAATGCATCTAATGAAGACCTACAGCTCCTTGGTGGCATTTCTGGGGCACTGTTAAGAGCTGCTGGTCCAGTGCTGCAAGAAGAGTGCGATGAGCGGGTGAGGATGATCGGGCGTTTCCAGCCCGGGAGCGCAGTTCTCACGGGCGCTGGGAAACTCCCCTGCAAGAACGTCATTCATGCTGTTGGGCCTAGGTGGAGGAAGGAGGAGCCAGAAAAGTGTATATGGTTGTTAAAAAAGGCAGTGAAGAAAAGTCTAGAACTAGCTGAAACATACAATTGTTCTTCCATAGCTCTGCCTGCTATAAGCGGAGGGATTTTTGGCTTTCCGCTGCAGACATGTGCAGATTCAATTGCATCTGCCATCAAGGAGACCCTGGAAGGATCCATGGGGGACAGCAGCTTGAAGGAGGTCCATCTGGTAGATAATGCTGAAGAAACCGTTCAGGTCTTGAGTGAGACAGTAAAAGAAATGTTTTCAGGTAAATCATCTTCCCCAACACCGCACGTGGAAAGCTGTAAGATGAGAAAAAGGCAGAAGAAGACAAAAGAAGGTGTGAAGATGGTTACTACAAAGGAAGGACTTTGTGTCCATGTAGAGGAGAAAAACACTCAGGAAGCCACGGTAGGTCATGGATTTTCTGCTTGCTCTCTAACTTTATGGTAAAATCCTCTTTAGTTTAAGTAAAAAAGGAAGAACAGTAGGTCATGCTGTTTTACAAGGCACTTGCTACATAAGGAATCAAGAGTGTGCTAGCTAAACGGGGATGCAAGCTTGCAAAACTGGGCGCTGGTTGGGATCTGTCCCTCTGCAGCTGTTTCTAGAGGGCAGCTTTGAATCTCAGGATGTTTTATTCTCAGCTTGGTTCTGTTTTCCTTTTTTCCAGATCTAAGGCCAACATGTAAAATAGTTTGCTTGTAGAAGGTAGAAATACCTCGTACAATTATTTGTATGATCTGCAGCTATCTTGGTTGGATATTATGGTAAATCAGTACCTGCCCGGGCTGCTGTTTTGGGAAGGCTAACAGGGAGGTTGGAGCTTATTTTAGTTCCCTATTCTTTGGATGGGTGAAAGTGACAGCCTATGGAGAATTTACTGAGTTCTAGAAAAGAGACGCCATAAAAGAGTCCATGTTCAGATTGTTTTACCAAAGTTTAGACCAGATTTCTCCCATTTTATTTTTTTATTCATTTTGTTAGCAAAGGGTTTAACTGCTACTCATATAGACCATTAAGACTCAATTTACACCTCTGATGTAGGTTTCCCCTTTTGTTTTCTTTTCTTCAATGATGTAGAGTGCATCTGGATAAATCTTTTTCAGCAACTGCTGTTTTTCATACTTTGGAGTTTAAAATATCCCTAAATTACTATTATTATAATTATCCTCCTATTTCAGTGGCCATGTTGGTGCATGTAAAAGCTGATTCCAAGAAAGCAATACTAGATATGAAAAAAACTTCCGTATGACACACATGTCAAATTGCTTGGTAGTTAAAACATCTCCAGTGGAAAAAAGCAAAGTAATCACCAAACTTCAGGACTTCACCTGTTTTACTTCACGACAGCAGAACTACCTCCCTTTGCCTGATTTTGGTTCATGAGGTGCTGCTTTTCTGATAAGGTGTAGACAATCCTACATCAGTGAAATGGAGAAAGGAACATTAAACTTTTGACATTAGGTGTACCTTATACAATATCTATGTTTTGCATCCTGTGATGATGCTGGACAAGAAGGAGCAATGCTGCAGTGGTTCTTCACAAGGAAATGTTGGAAAGTCTGGATCTGGGGAGAGGGGGTGAGACAAATGGCAGAGGATGGGTTTATTTCACCTGCCCAAACATTGGCATCTGCTCAGGATAAGGTGATTCACAGCTTCACCACCGCTGAGACCTTGAGAGCTATGGATGGATGGATGGATGGGTGGATGAGTGGGTGGATGGATGACCTGCTCACACATAGTACCTGTGGTGTTGGTATTCACAGTGGGTCTAATGCTGCCTACCACAGATTTCCTACAAATCCGGGAAGACTCAGTGTCCAGAAGCTGTGCTGAAAACCAGGTGGATCTGGGGCATCTGGTTTCTTATGCCATGTGTGGCTTTGGTAGTGCTGTTTGTCTTGATGCATATTTTGGCTCCAAGTCTGGCTACAGATATTTTTGCTGTAATCTTGTTGCAGACGGATGTTGTTGTCAACAGTGTTGGCCCAGATCTGCAGTTTGGCGTGGGGCCTCTTTGCAAAGCCTTGCTGGAAAGAGCTGGACCAGCACTCCAAGTAGACTTTGACAAAGAAAAACAAAGTCAGGCTTCTGGTCCAGGGAGTGTGGTCTGCACCAGTGGACATGCTCTGGCCTGCAAGTCCGTGTTTCATGCCATACTACCCGGGTGGAATGGAGCAGAGACAGAGAAGGTACCTTTCAAATATTAAATTAAAATAAATACATTTGGAAAAACTTTGCGATCTGTCCTGAAGTTTCAGGTTTTAGCTTAGTTAATTTAGATGGCTTGACTCCATTTGCTTCTGTTAGAGTGACCTTAAAGGTGCTTTGATGCACTGAGAGCTTCTTCTCCTACTGGTTACTCTCTTTGGAACCGATAATAAATAATGCCTTAGAAAAAAAGTATCTTTACTGTGTTTTTCAGGTCCTAGAAGATGTAATCAATTTGTGCTTGAAGAAAGCTGAAGAACTTGAACTGAAATCGATCTCTTTCCCAGCTATTGGGACCGGAGGATTTGGATTTCCTAAAACCATTGTTTCTAAGTTAATGTTTGATGTGGTGTTTGAGTTCAGTAGTAGCCACACTCCAAAGAATCTACAGGAAGTTCATTTTCTCTTGCATCCAAAAGATGTTGATAACATTCAGGTAGTTTTTCTCAGGACAAAGCTGTCTATGTTACGTGCTGTTCTGGTTGTGCCTTACTAATGTATTTTAGTTATATTGCTTTCTTGAGGGAATAATTTAGCACTTTCTTACTGCTGTGGGCCACTGACAGTGGGATATCTCTCCAGTGTCTCTGAAATATAAACTCTCAGCAAGCACAAGCTGCAGACAAAATTGGCCTCAATGCTGGCTGAAAATGCCTGTAGATGCTCCCTCGTCTTTTGACAGAGGAGATCTGGCAATTCAGAGACATTATTTCTTATCATACTGTCTACACTGCGTCTTCAGCTGTTCTTAATGACATCAAAATACAACTGTAAATTCCATTAGGGGGCTCAGCAAGAGCTACATGGCTGTTAATCTTAATTATAGAAACATTCCATGGATAAACTGTGAAATACTGTCTTTGGTACCTTTTTTCTCTCCTTAGGCTTTTACCACTGAACTAGAACATAGGGTAGCTGCAAGTTGCAATGCTGCAGCACCACAGCCAAGTAAGTTGTGTAGGGGCAGGAGGTGGGGCAGGGGGGAGAATGTAAATACTGTGGAGTGGTTTTATATGTATCAGGAAACGAAATAAATCATCAGGGCACAGGGCATTTTTCTTCCTCCTAATGGACTTTCCTTCTTAAATGCCATTTGTAAAATCTGTAGGAATTCTTTTGTTCAGGGCACGCTCAACTCTTGGTGAGGCCAATCTTATCATATGGAAGAGAGTGTCCCAGTAGGAAACCCAAGTGGAAGAACTTTGCCAAACAAGCCATGAGTGATATGTATTTCTGTACCTTTAATCTCCTCTACAGAGATATATATACACGGAATGGATTTGACCCAATAGCAAAAGCATCTGAGTGAACTGCTCCAAGGGCAGAGGCTTATTCATAAGGATATACAGCTCACTCTTCTCAGTTGCTGGGTACCAGGGAGATGAATTAAGAGTGTGCAGATAAAATATGACTTAGAGAAGTTTAGGCTAGAAGGAAGGAACAGTTTTGTAGCTGTGAAGGTAAAGATGAAATCACTTGCAAAACTGATGTGATGGGATCTCCATTATTGGCAATGCTGAAGCTGGATACTCCATTTCTTGTAGGGGTTAATTCAGGAAACTGTGTTACAGAGCTGCTCAGATCAGACAAACCCTGAGGCCATTTTCTGAATTCGTGTTGCAAGAATTTACAGGAATAGAAAATGGTTTCGCTTTGACAGCCTTTGAGCAGGAAGAATACTGTGGCTTCCAGCCTTTGGAAATGGAGTAAAGAGAAAAGCAGGGACAGTGTACATCCATCAAACTGATCTAGAGCATATTCCTTAAAAGGATAAATAGAAGTTTCCATCAGTGGAAGAGAATAATATCCCAAGCTAGAGGAGAAGTGACTGAAGATATTTTCTTTCCCTTGCAGGTTTCATTAAGCCTGTTTCTACTGAAGTATTGGGAGTTCATGAAATGAGGATTGGTTCCATCACGCTCCAAGCAATTAGTGGAGATATTACCAAGGAAGATACAGAGGTTATTGTAAACATATCAAATCAGTCATTTGATGCCAAAACAGGTATTGTATTGAAGATGTAGTCATTTAGGGATAAATTTGGGCTAGTTTTTAGAAGGGGGTAGGGGAAAGAATTGTCCATAAGGGAAACTTTTATGAAATATTTTTCAGATGAGAGAGAGGGATTTGTGATTAATCCCAAAATAGATCTTCATTCGCTTTTTTACATGTCCTAAATATTCAATTTAGTTTCCAAACAGAAGGCATCTGACCAGATTTTTCTTGCTTGAAACCAGAAATGTTTAAATAAAAGGGAATGTTTAGATCAAGTAGAATTCTGAAAAACTGCTCTTGTCCTAAAACGTTTTATAATGAAACCAAGCCAAAGTCCTGGTTAAGTAAATTGACCTGTAAGAAGAAGAGAGTTCTGACACTGAATTAGACGCATGAGAGATACCAAATGATAACATTCAAAGCCTTGGGAGAGTTTGGTGAAGGCCATATGGGTTTGGCTAGTGAAACAATGAAATAGGAGTTGTTCTTAATGATTTGTAATCAGCAGTGAAGGCAGTGTTCTGTCTGCAGCCAGTGCAGTGTGCCATGGAGGGGACTTAGGGGAACAGTCAAGGTTTTGTACTTTGTGGGATTTTGCCATACAAAAATTTAGGGCATTTGTAGAGTACAGAAGTTGGGTAGAGTATTGACTTGACTTAACGAATGTGTACGCTTTTGTTGTGTGATTTAAGGGGTCTCCAAAGCCATTATGGATGCTGCTGGTTCCCAGGTGGTAGACGAATGTGCTCAATATGGTATGTTGATGCACACTATTTCATTTGATTAATTTCTTGGTTTTGTTGTTCTCTCTGAAAACGTAAAGTTGTTTTATAATTCTCTACTCTGATGGCACAATTATTTCACCTGAAAAAGACAGCTTTCACTTTTAGGAATTTTGAAAAGTCCCGTTCTTGTTTTGGCACCTACTTTGAGAATTTTTCTTTTCCCAGTTGTTTAGCAAAAACTTAAACATCAGTGTGTTATGCACATTATTGTCATCCTAGATCCAAAACACGGTCCTGTACCAGCTACTAAGAAGAAAATTAACTCTATCCCAGCTGAAACCAGGACAACCTTATCATAATTCCTCTGTTTTCTGCATTCTGGCAGATCAGTAGAGCTGTAAAATTCCAGCTCCCTGGGTTGGCCTCCATGAGCGCAGAAAGGCACATTCTAGTTGCATAAAAAAATAAGTGGCATAAGAAAGGATTTCTCATATAAATAAATTTGGCATGCTTTTAAATAAAAGTGAGCTGTATTTAAAGTCATCCTAAATTCTTACATTGTACTTAATAGGAAACTACTTTGTAGCAGAGATCTCAGGAAATTGAAAAACACACATTTACTTGAACTGATTCCTCAAAGAATCTCTGCAGAGTATTTACAGAGAAAACCAGAGAATTAATTAAACCCAGGATAATATAGTTCACCATAGATCTCTTTCCACTTCTTAATGTTCTCTTCTAGGATCAGGAGAACCAGCTGTCTCTCCAGAAGAAGATAGCCCCTTTGAAAATGTCTCATTCTTTATCTTCTTCTCTCTTCCAGCTGGGCAGCATCAAAGTGGTTTTATTACTACACAAGGTGGAAATCTGTTGTGCAGTAAAATCATTCACTTGCTTTCCAGTAACCACGTGAAGAGTCAGGTCTCCAAAGTACTTAATGAGTGTGAGCAAAGGATGTACAAATCTGTTGCCTTCCCAGCTATTGGAACAGGTTTGTGTTTTCTTGGGGAAGCAATGAGGGCTGTGATGGGGATGGTTGGGACAAACTTAATGTGGGTAACAGTAGACTTGTACAAGAAACTGTTCCCTGCTACGTGCCTTTTCTTTTTGTTTAGGTCAAGCAGGACAGAGTCCAGCAAAGGTGGCTGATGAAATGTTGGATGCCATAGTGGAATTTGCAAGCAAAAAATCAGTACAGCATTTACAGACAATTAAAATCGTCATCTTCCAGACGAATATGCTGAAGGACTTCTATGAAAGCATGAAGAAAAGAGAAGATTTGGAGTCATCCACAGCGGATTCGTGGTTTTCTGTGCTTAAATGTAAGTAGGTGGGTTTTCTGTGTGCATGGGCAAATTGAAGTTCTTCTGTTTACAACTAATAAGTGACATATATTTATTTACAGCCTTGATTTGGGGCAAAAAACAATCTACTGAGAAGAAAAAGCCCGTGATTTTGGAGAAGAAAGTCAATTTAGTCACGTTTCAAATTTGTGGAGAAAGCCAAGAAAATGTGGATGCAGCTGAGTCCTGGATAAAGGATTTAATTTTAAAGGAACAAAGTGAAACTACTTTTACAAATGAGCTAATTGAAAGTTTTGGTGAGAGGGAAATTGCTGCTTTAGTAGATCTCCAGAGAAGAAAGCATGTCACCATTCAGCTTGACAGTAAACTTTCTCCCCCAGTAATTACTATTTCTGGTATTAGCAGAGATGTCTGGTTTGTTTTGGTAGAAATTCAGACAATGGTCCAAAAAATGAAGGACGTTGAAGAAGAACAATCCAAGGCGGAACTTCTTTCTAACCTGGTAGAATGGAGGTATCTAGGAAGCAACGATACCTTTGTTGCTTTTGATAAACGGACAAATATGCAGCTGGAGGATGCCAAACTAGCTAAAAAACCATATCTCAATGTCAAAATTAACAAGAAGAACTACAAGGTGGATCTGAATACTCTGCAGGCTCATGATGACCAAGGGAAAACTATAAACATTCAGCGTGTGTCAAAGAATGAAGGTGAATTACACTTTTGTTAAATAACAAAAAACTTTAATAGTGATTAATGAATGATGCTTCTGATAAATGCCATCTCAGGTATCCTAGAAAAAGTAAGGTATTCCGTAGTTGGGTTTTTTTTGGACATGCCATAGCCAGCAGTTTTGATTTTCATAGCTAGTAGCAGGTATGACTGAAACCAGAGCATCAGTGTTAAAACCAAACACTATCCATACATACGTGACTAGTGAGCATAGATTTCATGCCGAAGTCTGACAAAGGAAGTGGTGTATGAAGTGGGGTTTTCCAGTTTGTTTTAGTTAGATATTGCTATGGGGATAATTGGACTAGAGAAAATGTAAAATTTTAACTTTGCATTCATTACAGAGCCAGTGATGTTTGGAAGAGAGAGAGTACTTGTAGAATAAAGTATTGTGAACAGTACTGTCCTCTTAGCCCCTTCTATGCAGTTGGTTTTAAGATGTGCCTGTGAAGCTGAGCTAGTTGTCTATCATAATAATGTAATCTCTGTTTTACATATTTGCAATCAACAGAGCTCCCTAAGGAGTGGGAAGACTTGCAAAATGAACGGGTCAAACTGGTGAATCTCAAGCCATCACATCCAGATTACGGAACAGTTGAGAAGATGTTTAGGACAACCTGTGCCAACTTTACCATAGAGAAGGTGAAATCCTCTGGGGGGGAAAAATGTCCATGCTTGGGCTAGAAACATTAATATACTTTCTAAATATTTGTTTGCAAGGTGTCTACAACCCAATATACCTTTCATATGTCAGCCTCCCTGGCACTCTACAGGGTGGATAAAAAGCAAAGCAAATTTCGTAAGAATTGTTCTGCCATTTCTGCCTTCTAATAGTGCAAAAACAGTGACCATCAGTCTTTAGGCTGACTCTGTGTTAAACTAATGTGGTACTCCCTAGTTAATGTGGTGTTTCCAATTATGAAACTCTATATTGAAATGGAAGCATGAGCAAGCGTGTTCAGAACACAAGGATTCCCTGTCATTCCCTGTCATTTCCAGAGCCTTTCACTAAGCTGTTGGTTTTAACCAAAGTGTCAAGATTTGATTCTGCTTATTAAGAAATCTGAAACAGAATGCACAGGGACTTAATTGCCAGGGAGAAGATGGAATCTTTCTGAATCAGGAGAAGATATAAATAGGAGAAAATACAGTCAAAATAAGAGTGAGACTAATGTGTTTGAAAATTTTCTTCCATCAGGAGCTTCAATAAGTATGGTCAGAAAAACACAATTAGAACAAAATATCAGTGTATTATAGAAAAAAAATCATGTAATTACATGATGTCTTTTTCCAATAAAAATGGAAAGATGTTACAGAGCAATGCCTTTCAGATTATATTTTGATGCAGAGACACTGCTTCTCCTTGAGTATGTTCACATTGTTGGCATAGGGAGCCAGCAACATCTATCCTCCCACCAATTTATTTTTATATAGGAGTTTCTTATGTGTTGCTAAGTTACACATTTAAGGAAGCAAGTTTGACTTTCAGGCTTAGATCTAGAAGAGAAACAAATTCAATGTAATGCTATCACTGCAGCCTATCCTTTAGTGAGGAAATCATCAGTAAAAATGATTGAGATGTACAGAAGGCATCTTACAACATTGCCTCTAGCAGTGGTACAGCAGCCTGTTTCTAGAAATGACAATGCACAGCACAATGATTGCTGTGTACCTGGTATACTGGAGAGGCAAGACAAACGTATGCTCAAAATTACTAAGCTTGAAAATCTGTTGTAATGTGCTTTGGTTTCTGATTTTTCAGGAGGTAACATATTCAGTTCCCCTTCCCAAACCACATACTAACAGGGCATAGTGAAAATGACTGTCATTCTTTCACTTTGATTTCATTTTACTGCTTTCCTGCCGTGATAAATATTCCTTCCTACCAGGATAAATATAGTTAATTTTGTAATTTTGCAGATTGAAAGAGTACAAAATCCCTTCCTCTGGCAGACATACCAAATAAAAAAAAAATCTATCTGTAAAAAGAACAAAAGGGAAAATAATGAGAAGTTGCTATTTCATGGGACAGCTGCATCCTCACTGAGCACAATCAACCACTGTGGATTTAATCGCGGATTTGCTGGAAAGAATGGTGAGTCATTATTCAAATCAGTTCATTTCCTAGATATGTATGGGTGTTATGGACTGTCAACATTATTGTGCTGTCAGCACAACATGAAGACTGTATGAAATTGGAGAACAAAATAATAAATAACTCCAGAGAATAATCTATATGATAGAGGAATTATTTAATAGACAGTTATTAAATATTTAGCATAAAGACGCTCTGCCTTAGTTCAAAGATTGTTTTGTCCAGTTGCTCTAGTACACTCGTGTTTATTATTTACTAGCATTCAAAGATGAAGGACAGGATCCAAAGAAGTGGAGCTTAGACTTAATTGAGGTGCTAGTTGCTCTTAGAGGCCTCATCACCTTACTTCAAAAGTCCTTAATTTCTATTCTTAATGTCTTCTCCCTTAAGACTTCTTTGTACACGCCTAGGGCTGACTTGATCTTGAGTGAGCTGGGCAGCTTAACCCAGATCTAGTTGACACTTTGGTGTGGTCTGGATCCAAAAGCAGACGTTTCTCTGCCCGGATCCTCTGGAGGTCCTTACACTGAGATTTTCTTGAATAAATGAAGCCCAGCATACACAAAATATATCAGGTTGTGCACAGGTAGGAATGGGAGCCACAATTTCTTTTTAAAACATGACCAGTGGAGATGTAATTTCACTTTCCTGTCAGGAGGTTGGATTTACTCAGAAAGTAAGAGCGCTAGATCCCCATGTCCTCTCTCTGTTTGTCAGTATTGACATCCACTTTTTCATCTCAGACATGATTTATGATTGGAAAGGCAGCTTCCCTTCTGTCAGGCTGGGTAGCCAAGCAAAAGTATCCAAGCATCAGAGCAGCCAGACAGGAAGGGTCTGTCTTGAACAGCTTTCTACCAGTGTCAGAAAAAAGAAGTTTGTCTTGGACAAAGACATGTGATTCCTCTAACTTGCTGGGAAGTGTGACTAGAAAACTGTAATGGCAATTATATAGTAATTTTAAGTAGAAAAGTCTCTGAAGAATTTAAATTTGATTGATTGCAGGCTAAACAAGGCCAAATAGATAGAGAAGCCCTTTTCCCCATAGGAAGGGGGGTAGTCAAAACCTGGGCACTGATACTTACCTGATATCTATGTGGGTTCATATTTGATTCTGATACAAAGGATTATTATGGATTTTTCTGTTTAAAACTCTCACTAAATTTATAACATCTGCAGAGTTAAAAAAAGGGGGGAGCTTTAGAGATTCCTATGAGAATAAGAACACTAACTCTATTTGAAAATGTTGTCTTTCCAAACAGCTGCAGCCATTGGAAACGGAACCTACTTTGCTGCTCATGCAAGTTATTCTGCCCAGAATCAGTATTCTGTTCCGGATGTGAATGGCAAAAAACACATGTACTTGGCTCGGGTCCTCACTGGGGAGTACTGTGCTGGGAAGGCTGGACTAATCACTCCACCACCAAAGAACCCAGCAGATCCTACTGACCTGTATGACAGCGTAGTTGATAATGTGTCTAATCCAACAGTGTTTGTCATTTTTAATGACATTCAGGCATATCCGGAATACCTTATTACTTTCAAATAATAGAACAACCTTAATAGTCTGGAAAATTTTAGTGCCTTTTTACATGTGTGAATTAACAGGGCAATTCTTTATTCTTGTTTATGTTTAGGTTTCTTTAGGTAGTTATTGATCTATCCATGTGTTTAAATGTCTTCAATGAGGACCAACATAAGCAAGTATTTTTGGACATGCTATTTCAATATTCACATTTCAAATTCAGTTATGCAGAGGTGTAGGCAAGAGCTGTGAGAACAGCTCCAATCTTTTCCTGTGCATGGCAGAGGAGAGGGAGCTGCTCTGCCTTACCTATGGCCAGAAATAAGTGGCATAAGGTAGGTCAGTGTACCTACCATGTTCCAGTATTCACCATGTACAAAAGGCATCTTACAACATTGCCTCTAGCAGTGGTACAGCAGCCTGTTTCTAGAAATGACAATGCACAGCACCAAGTGCTTGGCTCCCTGTGAAGATTTGTTCAAAATGCTCCATGCTGAGAGATTCTTAAAGGTCTTTTCTGACCTAAACAGTGCTATGATTCTATGATTTTAATAACCTCACTCACCAGCAGAGTTTTCAGTCATTCTCAGGAATCCACTCACCCTTGTTGGTGCTGAAAGTCTGGAAGAAAAAAAATTTCCAATATTTAACATTCACTTTGCACTCATTGTTTCACCCCCCCCTTACCCTGTTATGGCATACTTTCTTATTCCCTAGGTATAAATTACTGGACGTTGATATTCATACCATATTCAACAGGTATTCATACCTGTTTCTTAGGGGAGTTCTCCATGGTATCCTGGATTACCTACATCAAGTTTCCACATACAAAAATCAGTGCTTCTGCAATTTTCAAGACCATAAACAGGGACTTTTAATTTTGTCTTATCAGTGCAGAAACATTAACCCTTCTGTAGATCTATTCCCTAATTTGCAGTGTCAATTACAGGGGCATAATTCATCATGCTTAAACAACTTGAAATTTTTTAAAGTTCTCCTAAACAAGTAACTAATGACATTTGTACATCTTTGCATGCTGTGCAGTTAATCAGGTGATGCTCTTACAACTGCCAATCAGAAGCTGTATGCACAGTTTTAATAAAAGTAATTTTAAACAGCTACATTGTACTGCTGAGTTGTTTACACAAAAGAACACACCTCAATTAGACTGTTGCTTTACATTTGAGTATATGATATAAAGGCTCAGAAGACAAAATTGTTTTCCTGTATTGTCCATGTGGCAGGTTTGTGCATACAAACTCCAGGTGAAATTACTCTGCCTTAGTCTAAGAAAGACCTGCGCTGCAAATAGCTGTCAGGATGTCTTAAAACCCCACTGTGATGTTCTCATTGCCTGGAAAGAGGAAAAGGGCTTACAGTATCTGTAGGTGGCAATGTAAAAAATTTCTGCTCTTCACAGCAGATGCCCATGCAGCACTTCAGATGAATGTCCTAAATAAATTCCCATTTAAAGCTAAACGAAGTTTAACCCACTCCTGGTTTAAAGGATTTTGCTCCCTGTGAAAAGATGAGGATGCTTTTCTCCCTTCTCTGCTTTTTCTGGTGCTTTTCTGTACTGTGGAAACACTGCAGCAGCCAGAGCAACTCAGTTTAGCTGAAAGCACCAGCCATCCACTGGCTTCTCCTGCTGCTGTCACCGAGCTGCGGAGTGAGCCACCACTTTGTGTGGCCCTCATTATACCTGAACACCTTGGAAAGCAGCAGGGGCTGCAAGATGGAGCACTACAAAAACACAGATTAATTTTATCCCTGATGCTGGTGGTAGAAGCTTCTTTAGTCATTTTCATATTAGAAACCTAGGAATACTGTGTTGTACAATGTTTGTGGACTGAGAAGCTGGAAAAAGACTGCTGTGTATGAAAAATGAAATCCCGGCAGAGAAGGATCTGGGGGTGCTGTTTGACAGATGGTTGGATATGAGCCAGTGTGTGCCCAGGTGGCCAAGAATGCCAGGAATAGTGTGGCCAGCAGGACCAGGTCAGTGACTGTCCCCCTGTGCTCAGCACTGGTGAGGCACCTCTAATCCTCTGTTCAGTTTTGGGCTCATCAGGACAATAAAGACATTGAGGTGCTGGGGCATGTTCGGAGAAGGGCAATGGAGCAGGGGAAGGGTCTGGAGCACAAGTTTGTGAGGAGCAGCTGAGGGAGCTGGAGGGGCTCAGCCTGGACAAAAGGAGGCTCAGGGGTGACCTTCTCAGTCTACAAATACCAGACAGGAGGTTGTCCCCAGGTGGGGTCGGTCTCTTCTCCCAGGTTACAAGAGCCAGGACAAGCGGAAATGGCCTAATTGGTTTAAACCTCAAACAGTTTAGATTGGACATTAGGAAAAATTACTTCACAGAAAGGGTGGTCGAGCATTGGAACGGCCTGCCCGGGGAAGTGGTGGAATCACAGTCCCTGGAAGCGCTAAAATCACGTGTAGATGTGGCGCTCGGGGACATGCTTTAGTGGTGAGCACAGCAGTGCTGACCTAGCTGCTGGACTCGGTGATGTTGGAAGCCCATCCCAAACC